CTGTGATGATGATGCTGATGATGATTGTGGTGATGGTGATTGTGAAGGTGATGGTGATAATAATGTTGATAACAATGTCGATGATGACATGTTGCCCAAGCCAAGCAACACAAAATGTTGAAAAATGAATTGTTGAAGTTCAATAGATACTTCAACCATAAATTTTAGCCCTGTGGTTACAATTTTTCCACAACAAAATACTTCTAATGTGTTATTTTTTGTGCTGACCAATCAACCTTGTTCTTTATGGTACCGTTATCAAGATAAATCTTAATTCATCATCACCATCATTTTATCATCATAATTGATACTAATTAATTACTATTATAAATATTAATAATAATGATCATGCTGTAAATTGCAGTAATTATTTTATTTATATTCATATATATTTCATCAAGCATTCTTTATATATATATATATATATATATATATATATATATATGTATTTGTGAGTCAAAAGCGCTAAATATATTTTTTTTTTTATAAAAGGAGGAGTTGTTACATTTTGAGGCGAAGTTGTTTAAATATGACAAGATTCAAGAGGAGGCGATGAAAGCAGAACATGACTACCAGAAGAAAAAGTTGAGTGGTGTAAAAGCAGATCCAAAGAAACACAACACACTAAAGGAGAAGGCGAAAGAATTTGGTACAACTGTAAGTTCAAAGTTCACAATGATTTAGACCTAATTATTTTATGTACAGTTTAAATTTGTACACATTTTTTTTTAGCCTGTAAGGGTCTTTTTTGGTCTTTCTTCATTAACACACATAAATTACAGGAAATACAATTTTCCAACCAATGACAAATGATATACTGATATCAAATTATGAAAAATAGGTAATTTTAATGAGTTAAAAAAAACAGGAGGACCATTAATAAATTATTAAACATTATTTTCTTTAATTTAAAGTAGGAATGGTTGGAGGGGGTAAGTTTTTTGGTTTTGAAAACATAATAATATTGTTGTATATCAATATGATTGTTTATCAATTGGGAGGGTATGATGAACATATTTTTTCTCGCCTAAATCAGTGTAATACGTATTTTCTGTATTTTTTTTCTCCTCAAGATTAAAAAATATTTTAATGAAGTGAAAGACAAGATATCTAGTAGAAAGTTAAACCATTCGGAGTTGTAAACCATCTGTATTCATGCACCCAACAAGTCAGACAACATTGAGACTAGTCTTCTACAAGGGCATCACCAATCACTGGTAAAGTTAAATCTCATCTAATGAAGATGTCGGTAATCAAATTATATAACACGGCAAGTCATGTTTTGTCAGGTCTTCAGGTCAATCTAAAAGCTGCAAGTATTACCCATCAAGTCAAAAGCATCTCTCATCAATTTTTTAAGTCTAACCTCACCTTATGAAGTCCTAACCATTCAAATCACATCAAGTCTAGTGTTATAAAGTCTTCGCTTCACTCATGAAGTCAGAAAGCATGTCTTGTGTAAACAAGTTATCACTTATCCAGTTGAAAGCATAAAGTTGAGCCTCATCATGTCTTCACTTATCAAGTCAAATCTCATCTTATGACTTCTTCACCATTCAAAACACATTCAGTCTAGTTTTGGAAGATCTTTACCAGTCAAGTCAGAAAGCAGCAGGTCTTAACCTGACCAAGTCATTAACAATCAAGTTAAGACCATGAAGTTCAGTCTCATCAAGTTTTCACTCATCAAGTTGAATTCCATCTTATGAAGTCTTCACCATTCTAAACACGTCAAGTCTAGTTTTTACAAGTCTTCACTTATCAAGTTAGAAAGCAATAAGTCTTACCTGACCGAGTCAACATCCATCAAGTCAGAAAGCATGAAATACAGTCTCATCCAGTCAGATCCCATCTTATGAAGTCTTAACCATCCAAAACACATTGTTTTGTTAAGTCTTCACTCATAAAGTCAGAAAGCATGTCTTGTGTAACTACGTTATCACTCATCATGTCAAAAGCATCAACTCCAATTTTAAGTCAACCTCATCAAGATATAACACAGCAACACATCCCATCTAGTCTCATCTATTCTTTATGCTCATTAACTATTACTACAATATGTGGTTTAGCGACCATCGAGATGGATAGTACAACTAGGCTCAAGTGTCTATGTGATGTTTAATTCTTCATACCCTTACAGCTTACTATAGTTACTGTACTAAAAGTCTTTGAATGTAACTAAACCTACAAAATTCAAACTAACCAAAACAGATTAACGAACAAAGCCAACTTGCAAAAACAATTATTAACTCTAGGCTCATGGAGTTGAAGCATACAAATTTACAATGCTCGCTACACCAATTTCATAAACACAGGACCTTCATGTTCCAAAATTCTCCCAGTGTATGCTTTGGTTCCCAACCTTCATTCACAAATGTCTGATTCTTCCAAGTTAAGTTTACAAACCACCTCACTATGTCTTCATTTATACAAGTAACTGCCCTTATTTAACTCCCATGAATTCAAAGTATGTTCGGCTAAGACACCTAAAGTCAAATTGTTTTAAATGTATTCAACAATGTACATGTTTTTATTATCTGGTACCCATTAAAGTGTCTTGAAATCCCTTAAACCTTTCTAATATAATCTATGCTGCAGTAGATAAAGCTGGCAAAGAATATAAACATAGCTGGTGTGTATATTTATTACTATTGTCATTTCTCTATATTATTATATATTAACATTAGCCAAAGAAAAATTAGTTTCGCCCAAGCCAAACTGACCCATCGACTTATAGTAATAAAAAGAAATCCCAACCTATCAATTCTAATTTCAAACCGCTTCTGCGCTTAGGTGCACAACAATTTTTTTGACTAAACTGTTACTTTTATACTATTAGGCCTAATATTATTATTATATTTGTATTATTACTACTGTTATTATATTATTGATATTATTTTGATTATTACTACTACTGTTATTATATAATTCAATAAAATTGATCTAACATTTTTATTACAAATTAATTATTCGATATAACAAAATGTGTTTTATTTAACATTTAATATGTATATACATATATATTTCAGTATTCACTCTTTTTTATATACATATATATTTATTTCATTATTCACTCTTGCCTTAAAAAAAGAAGTTTAAAGTATTTGGTGGTGGAGTTGGCACTTTCGTATTTAAGCAGTAACTTAGTGGTTAAGATGATTGCATTCCAAACCCAGGTTAATTCCTGTATACAAATCCTGTCAAAATCGTTTTTTTTTCAATTTTTATTTTAAACATTTGAACTTCCTAAGACTCTCGGTCTTGATACTAAATATGTTTCCCTAGTATAAATAAGAAATGTAAAAAATATAAATATTGGACCGGTATTAACATTTTTCTAAAAGATTAGAAAAAAAACTGCATTCTTAAAGAGGCTACTCAGACATGATGCGGGTATCTGTTTTTTGCGAAGTATAATTAATCCAGAGACCTAGTTGGTGCAGACTAGTGATTTGTTAGTGTGATATACATTTGTAGTAAATATACAAATTGTGAACATTTATATTACATGTTTTATAGAATATTTTCGTACGGTATTTTATTGTCTGTTTTAATTGTTTTAAGTACAGAGGGTCTTTCCCTTTTTAGGCGTAAAATAAATATTTGATTTTATAGCTATTTAACGATCTAATTTCCGTATAATGCGTGTCTCATTGAAAGCAAAAGTTTTTTTATGAATGTTATATACACCGCACACTACACTTGATCTTATATTGACTGAAATGAACATTTGGGCTTTGTTTTATCGTTGTCTCTGTATGCTAAAAAAACTAATTAGGTAGTGTACTAGCTTTCAATTAAAATGCGAAAAAGTGGGGTTTTTTTGCCTAACTTATCCATAAAAAGCGGAAACTAAAATATCAATTACAATATGTTATGGAACTATATAATTCCCTATTAATATTATGTTGCAATACAAACAGAACCTCAAATATAAGAAAGTAGTTTGTTTAAACATTAAGATTTGATTGATAAATTAACAAAAGTTTTATAGTTTTTGAGCTTATTATTTAGGCCTGCTTTTGTCATGGACAAGCAGGTAATTTGGTTCTTTTTAGCAGGGCTTAAGATTTCGCAACCTTAACGATAACGAATACGAATACGTCATTATCATTATCGTCATTCGTACCTAAAACATTCTTGACAGATATCTGTACGAGCTGCATATGATCCTTGAGTCCTACAAACGCATGAAATGCCTACGTTGTCACAGATATGATACTGTATGTGAAGGTCGTCTACAAATTTGATGACGTAACCGTATTCGTTATCGTTTTCGGAAGCTTATGAAAACTGATATAAATATTAAACGAAAATAATTTTAATGACAGGAGACAAGATCGCAGCTTTAATAGTACGAATTAATTTATGTTGTTATCAAATTTTGATTTTATATTTTGTTATGTAATAGAACAAGATGATGAGACCAGAGTCAAATACAGTAGAACCACTATTAAGAAGATACCTTCGGGACCAGCAAAAAGTGGCTCCTTAATAAGGATGACCCCTGAATAAGGGGTTGGCCGTAGGTATACTGTCTCTTGTTTTGCGGCCGGAAAGGTGTCCAACGGAAGTGTTCTACTGTACTTTGATTTGAAAAAGCATGAGAACTATTAAATACAAGGTGTTGGAAAAATGTTTTCAATGCAGCTTCCTATATGCAATTTATATTCACTATTTTGTTATTACTATTAAAAATAAGCAGTACAGGTATAGAATACAGTAGGCTTACTTTAATTTGGTGGTTGGTTTTTCCAAGAAAATGGGGTGGGGGCGATTCATGGTAGAATTGAACACTTTGACGTCATAATATAGTAGCGATCGTGTCAAGTATTTGTTTATTTACAGTAAACGTGACTGGTATAACTTCTTGTACAGTGTGTTCCATTGTTATGCTTTAACAATCAAACAGAACTATATCCAGGGTGTTTGGAAAATGTTGTGAATGCTGCCCGATTTGCAGTTCATATTTATTTATTTTTGTTATTATAGGCCTACCAGTACAGAGAAGCTATAGAGTAGGCTACTGTAACAGTTTAGGCCTACTGATTTGGTGGCTGGTTTGTACCACAAAGTGGTGGGAAATTAGATGACGTCATGTAGAGAAAGCGTTAAATTAAGTGAACGTGGCTGGTGTTATTCTATTCTGAAAGAACGCACAATTGTTGATTTAAATAATATGATTGTAGGCCTGAACATTACATGGGAATAGGCCTACTTACTGTATTTGTTTACTTAATGTGAACGGGACTAGTAATAGTGTAACGTCCTGGTACAGTGTATTCTATTATTTGTTTGCTAAGACAATAAAATATTCGGTATACAATACAATGTGTTGGGAAAATGTAATGAATATGCAGGCGGATATTAAGCAACTTATATTTACTTATTTTGTTATTACCAGTACAGATAGCAATGGGGTATACTGCATTTTGTTTGTTTTGTATCAGAAAAAAACGGCGCGAATTAAATATGACGTCATACGATGACGTGACTGGTATAACATTATAGATATTCTATTCTTATGTGAAGGAATGAACTACATTACAGTTTCGCATGTGCCTCTGCAGCCTATCTTTTGTTGTCCAAGGAGATGCACAGACTACCCCTTGGAGGTTGTGCTGCGCAATGCAAATCCAACGCCGGAAGCTCCGTTTTGAAAGGCTTAATCGATTATATATCATAATCCAAGCCCGTAGCCACGGGGGTTCGAGTTGCTCGAAAGAACCCCCCTTTTCCAGAAATCCAGAAATGCCATTATAAATCATGACAGTACTAAAAAGTACCATTTACATGAAAGTTTTTGAAATTTACTCAAATACCTGAAATTTGTCATTTTTATTGCTATTTCTGGACATCTGGGGTGTTACATCTTTAAAATTTAACACAACAATGGTGGGGCAGAGGTGGATGTGGACTCAAAGTGCTCTTTGTGAAAATTTAGAACCACTCCCCCCCCCCTTTTTTTTTCAAAAATTCTGCCTACGGGCTTGTAATCTGTAAAATTGCATATGGTGTGTTAAAACTCCCGAGGGTGTAGCTCGCAAATGTCCCGCACCCCGCTCGCAACTGGCTCCAACAATGCAATGGTTTTTATGGCCAGTGCGTACGTACACTCACTAAGGAGCGTGCGTGACGAGCTGAGTATTTTTTTTTTTTCGCGGATGTGGCCTACATTACATTGTGGTAACGTAATGTCTATACACTATTAGTAAGGTAACCTTGGTGTTTTACAGTATTTGATAATGTGATATGCTGTTCCTGTTACTATTTTTAAAACCCAGGCATCAGTCATTCGTATTTAGGCCTGGAATGCTCCGATTCTGCACGGTAGCATAGTAGGCCCACAATAATTAAGTGCAACTTTAACTAAATAGGGTGAGAGATCTTTAATATTATTTAGTCGTACTCATAGATCATTTCATTTAATGTGGTAATAAAATTAATGCTGAAAACCGAAGTGTTGGTGATCTGTCCACATTCTGTTAACTAGGAGGTGATGATGAATGTGTGGTTTTTTTTTAATACGGTCAATCTCAATTATGACGTCATCGTCACTATCGTCGTCGTCATTGATTATCTTCTTTAATCATCATTATCAACAAGTTATACTCATCAAAACTATCTTCCCTTTCAATCCTCGTCATCATGGTTACTACGCTAATCACTGCATGAATTTTCTGCCATCACTATAACTGGGGTGTAAACATGATGATGATGACATAATTAATGTCGAAATATTGAATCCCAACACGATGGCGTGTATTTCAATACGAGTATGTATTATACTTTCTTATCTGAGATTAATCAGTGGACCTTTCGGTTATAACTGGGGTGGATGCAGGATTTGGAGGCAGGAGGTACGTGCATTTTAGTAGTCGATTACGGGGGTGGGGGTTGGGGAACTCCTCTTTCACATTGGAATATATATTCAAATTAATATAATTTAATTTCGAATTCTCTGTAAATTCTTAATTCATTATTTCGGAGTACTTTTAAATTTAGAAATATCAGTTTGTGGTGGTGCCCGGCTGTGGAACATTTTAGGTGTTGTCATGCGAGTTCACTTGGACATTCAACTACAAACGTGCATTGTTTTAATTTGCTAGTTTTGGGTGTCTTCTACTTCAGGACCATAATGCAAGGTTCTGTTAGAAGAGTGCTGTTGATTAATAATGATAGGAGGGTCCTCCGGGTCCTTTTGGAATGGGGACCCGCGGGGCTTCGTCCCGAGAGCCCAGGTGTTACGCCAAAATGGTAAAAAAAAATAATATAGTAAAACAATAAAATGTTCATTATAATAATGTGGTACCGCGGTAGTTACCGGTAATGCCTACAAAACACAACAAAGAAAAAAAAATCGAAAAAACCGTTTTTCCCTGTGCATTTGACGTTTTTAATTTTGTGGCGGCGCCAGCGTTTGAAATTTTAAGAACTACTATTATAAAACAATAAATGTTAAGCCACTGTGACATCAATCTGTATCATGGAGTGTATTAACGGGCATTGAATCACCTTTGAACTACCGTATAAATATGTATATAAT